GTGGAAAAGCATTGAAAGCACTGAACATAATAAGCAATGGCTCACTTGAAGGCCAACGAAAACATGGAACACCAAAAGAGGGTGCTGAATATGTGGGGCCCTCTTGTATTGTCAGAAGTTATTTCTCAACACCCAAATTGTGAATAGTTACATTTTGTCATTTTAACCCTTAATTAATAAAAAATTAGCATGTGAGGACTACCAGTAGCATACTTATTGTCTATTCCTATAATAAATGCTGTACATGTTTACAGATATATTATTTTCTTGTTTTATCACAGGTATGCACAGGAAGTTGGTGCTTTCCATTTCCAAACTTCAGCTAAACAGAATAAAGGCGTGGAGGAATTATTTATAGAATTGACCCGCAGGATGTTAGACAATGCTGTAACAAATGATCAACAGAGGATCAACTCGCTCACGAGAGGAGGAAACACTCGCAATTTACAGATCATAGATGACCAGGCAAATCTTCCTTCACAAAAGTCTTCATGTTGCAGTGCATAATCAGATGATTACTGATGGCATGTTTTCCATAGAATCTATACTTTCTTAAGCTTATGTCTTGGGTTTTCAACAGCTTCCTACTCAAGTGTCAACAAGTACATGTATTAAGTTATTATCGCTGATTAGTCATTAAGATTATCAATAATAAATGTAATGAAAACCATATGAAAACTACAGCATAACATGCAGCAGCATTCTGGAATAGTTTGAGATGAACAGTTTTATTTAATTAATCAACCCTTGGATTGTCATATTAATTAAAACAAGATCTAATTGCTTATATTCCTCTCATTTATTCTTATGTTATTGATGTTGCACTACTGGCTAGTAACTGGCTGGGTGACCAGGTAGATATTCTAACTCTTAGACATCATTTTGCTTTGAACACATTTTTGTCTCAGCAGTTCATGACTGCAGTGGGCTACCATAATTATGTATATTACACAGCATACTGTATATACAGTACATATATACACATTTATGCATACAGTATATTCATAAAATAAACTCTCAGCTTTTTTATTTATTTTTTATTTAACAAAATTGAATACATCAGTAGTGTGCATCTACCCCTTTCTGTATGATAATTACACATTAGGACCAAAAAAATGAGGGTGGAGAGTTAGCATTGGCACTCGTGGTTGATTGAGATGCAGTTGTTTAACTGCTGTTGTAACAACAGAAAATTCTGATAGCAATGCACTTGGTTGTTTCTGAATCAGTTGACCAAGTCAGTTTTGTCCCGTTACCAACGTTAGATTACTTAAGGTCAGTTAGATTGAGGGTTTACCGTAAATCCACCTGGGCCCTCTGATTTGACTTTATAAGTTTTGAGTACCCATTTTTCAGTACAGTTTGAGTCCATCAGTGTTTACATGTATATATATCTTAATCAAAGCACCTTCAAATATGCTGCGAGTGGTAAATTTTGGCTTAGACATGAGAGAAAGGGTTTGTGCATTAGGCGTGCATAGTATATAAAAAAAATCCTGCCCCATGCAGTGCATAATGGAGACAGCAAACCTCTGACCTTGTGTTTGGTTTAAAATAACAACTTTGAGGCATTTTGAAAGGTTTTATTAGCCATTTCATGGTGTCTGTTGATAGACCTGAAGACATGTCAGTGAAATGAAAATAATTTTGGTCTATTTCAGACAGAAGTGGTAGGGGCCTTCCCTACTGCCATCAGTCTGTTACATGGATTTTTTCCTTCAATTATTGGGATAGCCTAAACCATTATCAATCATTCCCGGTTATGCTTTATTAGCCGGAAAATAAAGTGAACCTTTTGATTTTTTGTGTGTGGTGAGGAGAATGGGTTCAAAATAAAGGCAAGCATTATATTGAAGGGTCCTGGGAATGTGATTAATGAACAGAAAGCTTGCTTTGGTGGCTGGAATGTCCAGTGTTTATTTTGGACTACTATTAAGTTTGAATGTTAGGTAAAAATGGTGTATTACTGACTTCTGAGTGCTGTAATTGGTAGTTCTGATAGTTGAATGGGCAGTTTCTTGCACTTGTTTGATAGAACACAAGGTATACTAGTATAAAATTAGTCAGGAATAGGGTTTGAACAATAGAAGTGGCTTGAAAGTGGCCAAAATCGTAGTTGTACAGAGTGCTTCCCAACCTCCAACTTTGCACTGTGTAATTCTCTGAGTACTGCATCAAATTTTACAATTTTACTGTCTTCATCTATAGAAAAAGATTATCATTTTAAAATATACTTTTTTATTAAATTGTAACAATGATGGGATTTAATTTCAGGGGTCAAAATAGTGAAAGGGTTAAATGCCTTGAAACAAAACAGGGTTGGTGCACATTACTGTAAATTTTTCATAAACCAAAGTACTCCAGTTAGCCACCAGCTCAATGACCTGGTTTCATTTGTTATACGAGTTCTGAAGAAGTAAATGTGTGACATCAGATCAATGGGGCTTGAGAGTTTGTGTAATAGAGAGTGCAATAGAGCTGCCACAGGTAATGAATATGACTACAGTGGACCCTCGACTAACGCTATTAATCCGTTCCTGAGAGCTCATCGTTAGTCAAAATAATCGTTAGTCAAGTTAATTTTTCCCATAAGAAATAATGGAAATCAAATTAATCCGTGCAAGACACCCAAAAGTATTGAAAAAAAAAAAATTTTAACACATGAAATATTAATTTTAATACACACAAACTGAAGAAGACATGCACAGTTACATGACACTTACCTTTATTGAAGATCTGGTGATGATTGATGGGATGGGAAGAGGGGAGTGTGTTGATGGTCTTAGTGTTTAGAAGGGGAATCCCCTTCCATTAGGACTTGAGGTGGCAAGTCCTTTTTCGGGGTTACTTCCCTTCTTTTAATGCCACTAGGACCAGCTTGAGAGTCACTGGACCTCTGTCGCACAACATATCTGCCCATAGAGGCCTGTACCTCCTGTTCCTTTATGACATTACTAAAGTGTTTCACAACATTGTCAGTGTCACCATTAAACACTTGTTCAGGTTTCAGTCCTTCACTGTCTATGTACTCCTTGAATTCCTGCACATATATTTCAGCTGCTTTTTGGTCCAAACTGGCAGCCTCACCATGCCTTATCACACTATGTATGCCACTACGATTCTTAAATCTCTCAAACCAACCTTTTCTGGCCTTAAATTCACTCACATCACCACTAGTTGCTGGCATTTTTCTAATTAAATCGTCATGCAACTTCCTAGCCTTTTCACATATGATCGCTTGAGAGATGCTATCTCCTGCTATCTGTTTTTCGTTTATCCATACCAATAACAGTCTCTCAACATCTTCTATCACTTGCGATCTCAGTTTCGAAAACATAGTTGCACCTTTGGCAAGAACAGCTTCCTTGATTGTCGTTTTCTTGGCCACAATAGTAGCGATGGTTGATTGGGGTTTTGTGTACAGCCTGGCCAGCTCGGAGACATGCACTCCACTTTCATACTTAGCAATGATCTCTTTCTTCATATCCATAGTAATTCTCACCCTTTTTGCTGTAGGGTTGGCACTAGAAGCTTTCTTGGGGCCCATGGTGACTTATTTTGCAGGTGCAATCACTAAAAAGGCTGTGATAATATGAAATGTTCCGATTGTATGCTTGGAAGCGACCGCGGTGGCTGGCTGGCTTGTAAACACTGGCCAGAAGTGGACACGTCTCAAACGGAACGAATAGTGTTGGTCGAGTTTTTTAGCGCTAATCGAGGCAAAATTTTTGCGATAAAGTGTATCGCTAGTCAGATTTATCATTAATCGATGCCATCACTGGTCGAGGGTCCACTGTATTAATAAATTAGGAATTAGTTAGTCAAATAATAATAGCAGACTAGGACCTTTTTTTTTATACTGAACAGTACATCTAAAATATTCTAGTGTGTATGATGCACACACACACACACACACACCACACACACACACACACACACACACACACACACACACACACACACACACACACACACACACACCACACCACTCACACACACCTCTCACACACAACCTTTCACACCCCTTTCACACACACCTTCCACACACCTCTCACACACACACCTCTCACACACACCTCTCACACACACCTCTCACACACACCTCTCACACCACACCTCTCACACACACCCCACACACCACACACACACCACACACACACACACACACACACACACACACACACCTCACACACACACCTCACACACACACACCTCACACACACACACACCTCACACACACACACACCTCACACACACACCTCACACACAAACACACCTCACACACAAACACACCTCACCACACCTCACACACAAACACACCTCACACACACACCTCACACACACACCTCACACACACACACCTACACACACACACACACCTCACACACACACACCTCACACACACACACCTCACACACACACACACACCTCAACACACACCCACACACCACACCACACACCCTCACACACACACCTCACACACAACACACACACACCTCACACACACACACACACCTCACACACACAACCTCACACACACACCTCACACACACACACCTCACACACACACACCTCACAACACACACACACCTCACACTCACACCTCACACACACACACCTCACACACACACCACACACCTACACATCACACACACACACCTCAACACACACACAACCTCACACACCTCACACACCCTCACACACACACACCTCACACACACACACACACACCTCCAACACACACACACCCCACACCACACACACCCACAACACTCACACACCCTCACACACACACACCTCACACACACACACACCTCACACCACACACACCTCACACACCATCACCACACTACACATCACCCACACACACCTCACCACACACACACCTCACCCACACACACAACCTCCCCACCACACACACCTCACCCACACACACACCTCACCCACACACACACCTCACCCACACACACACCCACCCACACACACACCACACACCACACACACCCACACACCACACACACACTCACCCACACACACACCCACCCACACACACCTCACACACACACACACACACACACACACACCCACACACACACACCACACACAAAACCCTCAACACACACCCACACCACCACACACCACACACACTCACACACCACCCACCTCACACACACACACCTCACACACACACCACACAACCTCACACACCACACACACACTCACACACACACACCACCTCACACACACTCCACACACACCCCACACTACCCACACACCACACTCACACACACACACAACCTCCACACACCTCCACACACACACACCTCACACCACCACCTCACACACACACCCACACACCCACACACACACCTCCACACACCACCCACACCACACACCACCACACACACACACCACCTCCCCCCACCACACACAACACCACCACACCTCCACACACACACCTCACACACCACACCACACACTCACACACCTCACACACACCTCACACACCTCACACACACACACGCACACACAACCACACACACACACACCTCACACACACACACACTCCCACACACACACACACACACACACACACACACACACACACACACACACACACACACACACACACACACACACACACCACACCACACACACCTCACACACACACCTCACCACACACCACCACACAAAACACACACACACCCCACACACACACACACACACACACCACACACCCCACACACACACACACACACACACACCACACACACACCTCACACACACACACACACACACACCACACACACACAACACACACACACCACACACACCACACACACACACACACCTCACATACACACACACACCTCACACTCACACTTCACACCACACACACACACCTCACACACACACACACACACCTCACACACACACACACACACACCTCACCCCACACACACACACACACAACACACACACACACACACACAAAACCCACACACACACACACCACACACACACACACACACACACACACACCTCACACCACACACACACACATCACCCACCCTGGAATTAATAAGAAAAATAGATACATGTATGTAATAAATTCTGAAGACAGCATCAGAGGCTCAGTTCTGTTCATGTAACAACAAATAGGTATACAAATTTTGTATGTATAGTATCAAACAATTGTGTGTTTGGTTATGATAAGTTAAATATCGTAATTTGTCAGTTCAGTACAACAAGACATTTTCTTGAAATCTTACTGAGTTTCATGGCTCTAGTATGGTTATGGAGTCTAAAATTATTATTGTTACATTCAGATAATAACTCTTTAGGAAACTCTGTTGTGTTTTATGAACAGATTTATCTTCTAAATATGTTTTATGAAATACACATTTTTAAGTGATTATTATACAGTAAGTATTTAAATTCAACTCTTGATTTAAAATGAATGTCTAAAAGTAAAGTGCATTACAGTATATAATTTTTCTGACTTTCTGAAAATTCATTTTAAATGCCAGACTACATTGTTTATACTTTTCATACTTTTGTAAAGTTTCGTAGTGTAAGATACATTTCGATAATGAAATATGAAAAATGCAGCCTTGATATACACTGGTACTGTATTACCTTCCTTGTTTGAAAATATTAATTAAATTGTCTTTTGTCTTCAGCCCCATTATTTATCTGTAGGAAGGCTAATGCAATCTGAAAAATTGTGTACAATGTAACTTGTTCAATACGTAATTAGACCTATGTTTTCTTCCTATATTTGTAAATAATCATGCTTATCCTAAGAAAAGTATTGTTTAGTATTATGCAAGTGCAGCTAATCCATACTTTATTTCAGTCAGAAATATGAAGATGCAAATGTTTTTGCAATCACTGTTTGTACAAAGCTTTCCCATGGCAGTCATCACTGTATCTTAATGATTAGCACTTTTAATGAGGGGGGATACAAGTCTTTCATCAAGGGGTATCCTTTGTATAGGATTACCACAGTAGTTGAACTGTAGCAAAATTGATGACAAGCTTGAGTTGTTTGGCTTGTTAAAGGTAACTTAGATTTTATACAGATATCATATGCAAATTTTATACCTAAAAAAAGTGCTATCTCTGTCTAAAGTGTGCTTTTTATTGTTGCCTCATGACGGGGGGGGGGGGGGGGGGGGGGGATTCATATTAGTAGTAGACACTAGAGAAAGATATAAACAGTACATTCATAGTATGATAAATGATAAATAAATTAGACATGTGTTACCTCCCACAGCTGATTTCTTGCTCATAATTATTTTATGAAGCTCTTAAGCATTGTCTTAGTGCTTGTTTTCTCTTTTGTATGTAATTTCAAGAGCTGTTTTTTTAAAACTTTATTCTGTATCTTGGAGAGTGGTAGAAAAAATTTTTTCTGGTAATATTTCTTGTTAACTCTGCCAACATAGTATGGAAAATTTATGTATTGCCAGCTTCATAGACTGATAAACCAAGTCT